AGGCCTGCACGGGCCGGGCCGAAATTTGAAAATTTTAAAAACCCCTCAAAATTGCGGGCCTGGTGTGTCAAGAACATAGTAAATTGCGGGCCGAACTTTTAAAAAACATAGTAAAATTTATTTTGCGGGCCGTGCGGGCCGGCAAAAGTACAAATTTCTAGGCCCGTGCAGGTCCCTACTCTAGGGTTGTGGGTTGAACCACACTCCACTAAATTAGACTTACTCCAATGTTTTGCTCCGGGTTGCACCAAATTTAAAAACATAATTTTAACCCACTCCAACTTGGGTTGGGTTTTACTCCGGAATGCTCCGGAATAAGCTACTCTATTAACAACCCTACTTGGCTCCTAAAAGCCATTGCTCCAGCTTGAGCTATGACTATTGGGGCCGTGACTTGAGCTATAACCTGAGTCATAACTCAAACAATAGTTCTAGTAGCCATGGCTCAAGCCGTAGTTTTAATAGCTGGGAACGTAATATTTATCATGAGCTGCGGCTTAAACCAAGTCATAGCTAAGCTATGATGCTCAAGCCACAGCTCAAGCTATGACTCTAAGCTATAGCTTGATTATGTTTCAATCTATAGCTCAATTGGCTTGGGTTAGTTCAGCATCATTATGCAGCTAGAGCCGGTCTCAAATAAGCTTTTAACAGCCCTAATGGTTAAATGTTATCTAAAATATCGATTTTTTTTCATTGTAAAATAAAAAAATAATAGGTGAAGGTGCGCAGCAAGCTCGTACCCTAGTGCTTTGGCTGACACCTAATGATTCACAACCATGCCCTGTATGTTCAGTAAATAGCAATTGGAATAAACATGTTCTAGCTGAAACTAGGCTTGAGTTAAACAAATGGTATCACATAGTATATACACTTTCTGAGCCTCAAAAACGTATGGAGTTATACGTAAATAGTAAATTGATTGGGTCCATGGATACAAAAGAAATTAAATTCAATGAATTTCCTTTGAAAATGGGGCATTCTGGCATATACGCAGACTTTCAGGGACAAATGAGGTATTATATGCAATATACAAAAAAAATTATTTTGTAAAATGTTGCCACAATGATTTACTACAGCTAAGGTATAGTTTAAAAAATCTGCTGTCTAATAAAAAAAATTGTTTTCATAACAATTTTCGATATTATAATATTCGCTTATCCGCTGATGAAAATTTTAAAGATTATATATCATATCTTAGAAATCAGGTAAAAAATTGGACTAAAGAAATTGGCCCAAATAGTAAGTTTTGAAACTTAAAATGTAGAATCTCAAATTTCCATTAATGCTAAAATTGTTTATCTAAATATTCAGATTGTCTTGAGATTTTTTCAGGATCTACATATTTCCCTACTAATAAAATAACTATACAACCAAATGAGTTGCTCTCTGTAACAAACGAGCTGTCAGTGACATTTTCAATTAAATCTCGAGAAGCATAATTCAAACTGGATAACTATTTTTCTTAAAGGTATAATTAATTAATTAATTAATTGGTGGATCTTGTCTCATGACAATTAAGGTTGGCCTGATTTAAGTTATAGTTAGTCTTTAAAGCTAATATTGGATAGAATTAAGCGGGAAGTAGCTGTTGGTGAAATGGGGTGAATCCATAATTAGCAAAGAATGATAATTATGATTTAATGGTTAAACGTTATCTAAAATATCGATTTTTTTTCATTGTAAAATAAAACAAAATGATAGATGAAGATGCGCAAAAAGCCCGTACCCCAGCACTTTGGCTGACACCCAATGATTCAAAGCCATGCTCTGTATGTTCAGTAAATAACAATTGGAATAAAAATGTTAAAGCTGAAACTAGGCTTGAGTTAAACAAATGGTATCACATAGCCTACACACTTTCTGAGCCTCAAAAACGTATGGAGCTCTATGTAGATAGTGAATTAGTTGTATACACAGACGTGAAAGATATTATATTCAATGAATTTCCTTTAAAAATTGGGCATTCTGATGGATATGCAGATTTTCAGGGACTAATGAGGTATTATTTACTACATTTAAGATGTATTAAAAGTCTATTGTCTAATAAAAGATTGGTTTTCACAGTAATTTTCGATATTATAATATTCGCTTATCCGTTGATGAAATTTTTAAGGATTATGTATTATATCATAGCAATAAATTGGGTTTTAATAGATCCAGGTAATATAGGTAATATGGTTTCATAGCATCGAACTAGCGGACACTATATAGAAATCAGACAGATAGACATCAAATTTATATGGGCTGGATGACAGTGATAAATATCTTGATCAATTTTAAAGATATAGTTTTAAATTAAATATATATATATACTGTATAAATAGTGATTATAATAAATAAAATTTTTATCATAGTTTTTAAAAGACTTTAACGCACCTATGGTGTTTTGCCACCTATGTTACATTATCTCAAAAACTAGCCAATTAATTAGTACGGTGCTCTAAGTAAAAATGCACTACGCTCCTAAAAACCTTCCCACACCTTACACCTTAGATATCTAGTTTTTTTAACAAATTTTCTTAAATTTAGAATAAGATAAAGTTCAATATTAAAAGGTAATTAT